CCATTCTGTGGGCAGTTCAGGAAACACACTCAAAATTACCACAAGTCACAAACTGTGAGACTCCCATGTACTTCCCGTGTATTTGTTTTGGTGGTTTCTTCTCATCAGTCCTGTGCATTTCCTGTCACAGTACTCATGCACGCTTATTTTCAAAAGGCTGCTCCTCATTACAGATTTGTGCCAGTCCTCAGATGATACAGCACCATTTTGATGGTGCAGATATCTGAAACACTTCACAGCTGTGCACGTAGAAACTGTCATGAAGCGTAAGATGTGCAAGTTTAATTCTATTACATTACTTTGTAATGTAAATGAACTTAAATACTGTTTAAAATGTGATACATATTATGATGGAGGCATATACACTGTCCAACTTCCATCTCCCCTCTCCTCCTTAAATACATTAAAACCAGGATTTTTGTTACGAACCAGAAAGTCTGTCACTAGTTCAGAGACCTGACAGGTTTTTGACAGTTGTGCAAGGTGCTTGCTAGGTGCTGCCCTGACTCTGCAAACTGGAATGAGCTGGCAGAAAAAGGCCACTAGAGTCTCCATTGGCAGCTAGATCCTGCCTTTGAGAAAGGCTCAGCACCCAAGGCTGGTGTCATTCAGCTCTCCTTCCAGTGACTGCGCAGAGGCAGGCAGAGATGGAGGTGGTGAAGTGCACAGCTCCCCACTCCTTGAATCTGACAGTAACGTTAAATAAAGCAGACCATGACTGCAGTAATACCACTGCCAAACTAGTGCTGAATCAGAGAGATGTAACCAGATCCCCTGTGATCAATTCATTCTCATAGACAGTGCCAGACCAAAGGGAAACTTGTATTTTTTGATTGCTAAAAATTTTTAGAAATGGTCTTACTGACAGCTCAGAAAGACAAATGTTGCTATAACCTGAAAAAGTAATAACTATAGTTCTCAAATGTCCAGGTGAATGAATTCAGGAGTTGTTTCTGGCATGGTATCCAGATATGAAATCTATTTACAATTAAATCAAGAAACCTTGAACTGACTTTACATTTTCTTTATCCATGACTGTATGCAATGCTCCTTTGCTGCACTTGAGCCTGTTGTCCCTGGCTGTCAGCAGTCGTGTGGCCACAAGCAGAATAAGAAAACCAAGTGCTGCAGGAGCAGCAGCCCCACAGTGGAAATCCTTACCAAGGGATAGTTCCCAGAAACACAGACTTTTCCTTCCAGTTTTACAGGCAAGTGACTGCCGAGGAACTTGGCAAGAGCATTTTCTTCTCCCTGGTCAGCATTTCTGCTGCCTTTGCCCTGCTGGCCCTGAGCTGCAGAGCCACCAGTTAGGTTCGGGTACTGGAAGGGCTGGTCTTTAACCTCACTGACAGTCAGGAGGACCCACCACCTTCCTTTACTGTCATTTATTTTAATTCTGGGTGTTATACATGACATCTCTAAGCTCTTGTACCATTAATTAACTAAGGGGTTTGGTCCGTTGTCTTAATTACTTGAGTTTGATGCATCTTCTGGGTAAAGAAATCAAGTTACAGTTCAATCTGAGAGAAAAATTTTGGTTTTGCAGTTTATCTTCTATTACTTTCTCATTCCCCCCATTTTATTCTAGTGATTAACAAAAACAAAAAACCAAAAAAAAAAAACCAACCCCAAAACCAACCCCAAAACAACAACAACAACCCCCCCCCCCCAAAAAAAAAAACCCCAAAACAAACAAAGAAACAAACAAACAAAAAAAACACAACCAAAAAAAAACCCTTATCACAACTGGTTTTAAAAGTCTTAGCAGTGTCAAGCAGGTTGACAATTCCAATGTGTCTATCTGGGAACTTTATGGAAAATATATCAGTAAAACCCAAGATGAGCTCTCAGTGAGAGATTACCCATCTTGAACATTAAAATGCTGGTTGACTGATTCCAGCGGAATTCACATCAGGCCTTAAATGCTTGTATGCTCTTGGAAGCACATTTTATTTCAGTGCTAGAAGATCAGGTACAGACAAAGCAGAAAACTTAAAATGTTGTTTTCTACAAACTGATGAAAATGATCTGAGGTGAAACGTCAGTTATGAGAAATGAAATCATATGAGAAATGGAAACCTTCTGAGACACAGCACAGAAGAAAAAAATAACAAGTTATTTGATTGTTTATACAACTTTCGTCTAGCAAACTATGAGCACATATGAAATTTTAGTTCAGAGATTCCTACTGCATTGGTGAAAGAAGGTGAAAACAAAGCAGAAAAGGTGTAGTTTATATTCCCAGTTCTGTCACAGGCTTTTTGCTTCGCCTTCAGCTTTTCTCCTTCTGTTAGTCATGCTGTTTTTTAAAATGGAGCCAGAAGCACTTTCCTTACCCAAGGAGAAAAGAATGAATATTTGTAAGACATGAAAAGCATATTTGGGATGCCCTCTACAGAAACAGATCAAATACAGATAGGACTTAATTTTTACACTAGTTACAGTGATCTTGCAATGATGCCAATCTCCTGATTTTAATGGAGTTGTCAAGAGGTTTATTTATATGAACTTTTGTAGACAGCCCTTGAGTATTACATCTTTATATCAGGCAACAAGAAATGGCTGCACAAAAAATTATCATGCAAAGTGCACATTTCTCTTGCTCAGTCCTTACCATCCTGCTGAAGTTGCGTTTCCACAGCCAGAAATCCTTTGTCCCAGAAAACCCAGAAATATAACTTGCAAAGCTAGCATACAATCATCTGACAATCAAGCAGCAGCAGGAGTATATTAATGATATGGGATGAAACTGCTCCTGTAAGGTAGAACCAAGACATATTGCATAACTGAGCAGAGTCACTGGCAGACAGTAGGGAAA